GTAACTTAGACTTACACATAAAAAAATATGTATAATTTGATTGATTGTATTTTTATTTTATTTTTTTAAATCTTCTCAAATTTTCATCTCTCTCTTTATTTTGTTTATCAGATATGTTCACCAAGTCGATGCAGTCCTGCTCTCGCACCCTGATCCCATTCACCTTGGAGCCCTTCCCTACGCTGTGGGCAAGCTTGGTCTGAACTGCACCATCTATGCCACCATTCCAGTCTACAAAATGGGTCAGATGTTCATGTATGATTTATATCAGGTACTGTAAGGTATCATTGCAGGTAAATAGAGATTTTTATTTGCAAGAAGAGAACTGATTTCTCACATTCCTTGTCCCTGATCTTAGTCAAGAAACAACAGTGAAGACTTCACACTTTTTACCCTTGATGATGTGGATAGTGCTTTTGATAAAATCCAGCAGTTGAAATACTCACAGATTGTTAATCTGAAAGGTGAGACAGAGATTAGTTGACATCCCCTGTTCTTTAACCGACATTAGGTTGTGATTTTCAAACATTTTTTCTTTACATTACAGGAAAGGGGCATGGTCTTTCAATTACCCCTCTCCCAGCTGGACACATGATTGGAGGTACTATTTGGAAAATCGTCAAGGACGGGGAGGAGGAAATCGTATACGCTGTGGACTTCAATCACAAGAGAGAAATGTAAATAGACCCACAACTTGCATGTGAAAAGGAGATCTCTAGTTGCATGTCTGTATTTAATTTGGTTACTCTTCCTCTGTCTGTTGCAGCCACCTTAACGGCTGCACACTGGAGAGCATTAGTCGTCCATCTTTACTTATTACAGATTCCTTTAATGCTGCTTATGTACAGCCACGCCGCAAACAAAGAGACGAGCAACTGCTTAGTAAGTAATTCACTCAGAAAATCTCGGCTCTATAGGAACAAGAACATATAAGAAACTGTCTGTTGTGTTACTAATGACTGCATTATCATCCCTCTCCTTTAAACCCACAAAGCCAACGTGATGGAGACCCTGCGTGGTAATGGTAATGTCCTTATTGCTGTGGATACGGCTGGTCGCGTGTTGGAGCTGGCGCAGCTCTTAGATCAGATTTGGAGGACAAAGGATGCTGGACTGGGAGTTTACCCGCTGGCTCTGCTCAACAATGTCAGCTACAACGTGGTGGAGTTCTCCAAATCCCAGGTACTAATTAGTCAATGTGGACACAGAGTCCTTTGGAGTATTCAAAGCAAAACACCCCTTGTTTAAATCGAACAAAATGACAATAAGAAGTTAGAAATATGTCAAAAGAAGTTCTTGATAGTGAGTAATAATGGATCATAGGTTGTGACGCAGATATGAGCACAAGGATTGTTGTTTATGGTGTTCAGTTTTCTACCCTATGTCTGAAACAAGTGGTAGATAACAAAAACTAAAAATCACACACAAAAAAAAAAAAAAACTAAATTGGGTTGCAAACTAAAAATCTAAATATTTTGGCTAAATTTATGTGATAGGTCAAAGAACGGTTAAAATAGATGGCTAGAGAAAAAGGGGAATACAAATATTTAAAAAAAAGATTCTGGCGAAAATATTCTAAGAATCATAATAAAAGCTGAATATGTATTTGAAAATAACCAACAATTTGTAGCTTTGGAAGAACTCAGACAATAATCATCTAAAGAAACATGTCTTCAAAACCTATAGCTCTCAGTCTGACTCCAGAGTAGCCTTATCCTTTAGTTGTGCCTTTTGAAATATTTACAGCAGCTATTAAGTGTGAAATAGTGCATTATGTTTGTCGTATTGCTTTTGTTACTTAATGTTTTCCTATGGGCTCTTATTAATGATAAAATCCATGTGTATAGGTGGAGTGGATGAGTGACAAACTCATGAGGTGTTTTGAGGACAAAAGGAACAATCCCTTCCAGTTCCGACACTTGAACCTTTGCCACAGCCTGGCAGACCTGGCCCGGGTACCCAGCCCTAAGGTGGTGCTTTGCAGCCAACCGGACCTCGAGTCGGGGTTCTCCAGGGAGCTCTTCACTATGTGGTGCCAAAATGCCAAAAATTCCATCATCCTCACCTACCGCACCACCCCTGGAACCCTGGCCCGCTATCTCATCGACAATCCTGGAGAAAAGATGCTGGATTTGGAGGTGAGAGCAGCAGCTTCAGTGTTTATATTTAGCATCTTTCCTGAATCGTCATGATTCACTCTTACCTTCACATCAGGTCAGAAAAAGAGTCAAACTGGAAGGGAAAGAGCTGGACGACTATCTGGAAAAAGAAAAAATTAAGAAAGAAGCAGCAAAAAAACTGGAGCAAGCAAAAGAGTATGTGATTTTTTTTAGGCTTATGGTATTGTTTTTACATGGACTTTATAATCCTTGAAATACTCTTAACAGTTGTGTATTATTACATTAAGAGAGAAAATTTAAGTACCAGAACCACAAATATATTTATTCCTGATTACAGTAAAAATAAGTCTAACACAGAATTTAAAGATGAACATCCACTGATTTAATGTCCATTTTGTTGATTTTTAGGGTGGATGTGGACTCGAGTGATGAGAGTGACCTGGAAGATGATCTGGATCAGCCAGCTGTGGTGAAAACCAAAAATCACGACCTGATGATGAAGGGCGAGGGGAGCCGCAAAGGAAGCTTCTTCAAACAGGCCAAAAAGTCCTATCCTATGTTCCCGGTGCATGAGGAGCGAATCAAGTGGGACGAATATGGAGAAATCATTAGGTACCGGAGTCTTGATGTAAATGAAGTAAAGGTTTTCATTTATCACCATTAAAACTCTGTTTCCTTTTATAGGGTTGAAGACTTTTTGGTTCCTGAACTGCAAGCCACAGAAGAGGAGAAGAGCAAGCTGGAATCAGGGCTGACAAATGGAGACGAACCCATGGACCAGGATCTGTCTGTTGTTCCCACAAAATGTGTCTCAAGTGTTGAGACCTTTGAAATAAGGTTAGTTATGCTTTGAAAAGTAAGCTATACCAAAATAATCTGCCGAACGCTGATTGGCTGACATTATTTCTTTTATTTTAAAGAGCAAAAGTGACGTACATAGACTACGAAGGTCGCTCTGATGGCGATTCCATTAAGAAGATTATTAACCAGATGAAACCCAGACAGCTTGTGATCGTTCATGGGCCGCCTGAAGCAAGTCTGGACCTGGCTGAGTCCTGCAAGGCTTTCAGCAAAGATATCAAAGTTTACACACCCAAACTGCAGGAAACTGTGGACGCCACCAGCGAGACTCACATCTACCAGGTCAGTCTCAGGAAAAGCCGCTTCAGATAAAGACACGTGGGAGCAACCTTAAATGTTTCCACTTTTTCTGTCTTTAAATTTTTAATATGTTAACCTAAAGGTGCGCCTGAAAGACTCGCTGGTGAGCTCGCTGCAGTTCTGCAAGGCCAAAGACACGGAGCTGGCCTGGATCGATGGGGTGCTGGACATGCGCGTCGCGAAGGTGGATACCGGCGTGATGCTGGAGGAGGGTGTGAAAGAGGAGGAGGAAGACAGCGAGGTGCCAATGGATACCGCCCCCGAGCTTGGCATCGACCATAACGCCACGGCTGTGGCAGCTCAGCGCGCCATGAAAAACCTGTTTGGAGAGGATGAGAAGGAGATCTCGGAGGAGAGCGATGTCATTCCCACACTGGAGCCGCTGCCGCCGACTGAGGTGGGAAGGAGACGTTTTTCTTTTCTGATCAAAAAGTAATTCAGCCTGAAGTTTTAAGGATTATCTTTAAATTGAAGACTAACGTTTGCATCATTAAGCGTAAATACTTATTGCTAATTGAAATCACAGGATCTGGTTTTATCATCAACGATTTTTCCAAATAAAGAGCAAACATTTTCTTCTTTATCAAATGAGCAATTTGATAAAAAAAAAAAATCTTTTAAAATGGCTTCGATATTCTGTGTTTCTTTAGTTATTTATTGTAAGGGTTTCTTTACAAGATGACAAACTTTGTTTCCGCTTTACTTGTCGGCTTCTCTGTATGAAGGTAATCAGTTGAGTAGGTACCAGTATTTACTTGTCAGACTTTAACCTAGTTTAGTCAGAATGTTCAGAAAGCCTGTCAGAAAAAGCTCCTGCTAAAATCCCAGCCGATATTTTAATGAATCAGTTTGTAGAGAATGGTGCGCAAACATCTCTGACTGACTCCTTTTTAAGAAACATTAACACCAAATTGGATCCTTTGTCTTTCAACAGATTTCAGGGCATCAGTCGGTGTTCATCAACGAGCCCAGGTTGTCTGACTTCAAGCAGGTTTTGCTGAGAGAAGGCATCCAGGCTGAGTTTGTGGGAGGAGTTCTGGTATGCAACAATGTGGTGGCCGTTCGCAGGGTGAGTGTCCATAAGGTCTCTCAAATTCAGAGCTTCCTGATGAAGTCATCCAGGAATGCATGAAATGAAAGGATTTCCCTTTTATATTGTTGTATTCTCTTTATTATTGTGCAAAATAATCCTGGGGAAATACTTGATGTGGTTACAGTTTAATTTAATGCAACCTGTTGGGCTTCTCCTTTTGCCATCCATCCATCCATCCATCCATCCATCCATCCATCCATCCATCCATCCATCCATCCATCC